CATCTATCTATCTATCTATTTATCTATTTATCTATTTATCTATCTATCTATCTATCTATCTATCTATCTATCTATCTGTATATGACCAATTTTGTAGGTACGTCATGTGCAAACGTACAAAATGTACAAAATGTACGTCATGTGAAATTTCGAATGACAGAAATTTGTCATTATTCACCTTCGCTTATATATATACCAGGAGTAGATAATAGGGAATTCCCTATTATCTACTCCTGATATATACCCATATACCATAAACATGTAAATGTATATACAGGGGTTCTCTGATGTGCACTACTATAGTGCATGTATAGGAGCCGTAATTGATATGATGTATACTACAGTTTATGAATAGGAACACTTGGTTATTAACATGGTTGTGTCTAAGATCGAATCTACCACACCCCAGAGTAAATGCTTAACGTGGGCCCTACGTCATTTCCTTTGGGCGACAGGTCGCCGACGTGTCCGCGCCCTATCCATGTACATTGGTATAGCAAGGGACCTTCCACAGAGCGGTGATTGAAGTAGCGAGGGTGCAATTTTCGATGCGCACCTTCTGTAGTCATGCCACACTACAGATTAAATGCTTAATATCGGCCCTACGTTATTTCCATTGGGTGACAGGTCGCCGACGTGTCCGCGCCCTATCCCTGTACATTGGTATAGCAAGACGCTCCCTGGTGTAGTATATAATTTATGCATCACGTGTATATTACAGGATGCAGGGCTGAGGAACGTACAACTAATGCAACACTGTCTGGGGGACGAGGTCATCAAGAAAAAAATACTACCAAAGGCAAAGATAGTTTTTCACAAAACATCAAGCATCAAGGTACGTTCCATCTACTGTGGATTTTTTTCGCTTCTCTTTTTTACTATTTACGTTACCTGTTGTTCTTATCCTATTGCGCAAAATGCATGCAGTTGCGTATGGCTTGCTTGGGCTGTACTAAAGATTATTAAAACCACGTCATCACGATCGTAAACAGTTCCCTAGGCATTTTTACATAGTTTTTCTCTTCGAAAAAATGAGCCCCTGTACGTAACATAACACATGGGAATATATATATATATATATATTATTATATACTTCTTTGAAAGTCGTCATGTGCAATTTCGTCTTGTGCACTTCAAATGATCAGCATTATCTAGAGTGGTTCTAACTTTTTTTGGACTTGCGCAACTCGTGTTCATCGCAATGACGATGAGTAAGTCTACGTTAAAATTTTTGCGATTTAGCAGAGCGTGATTATAAACGCTAGACGCATCTCAAGAAAAGCAAAATTTATTTTCATGTTTTATTTGATGTTTACGTGCTCTCCGAAAAAACTCGTGAGCACAATGCTGAGAAATTCTGTTTGATGTGGTGATAAAGAAACATGAGCAATAGATTATAAATTCACATCTGCAACTTTCAGCTTCCTGGGAGTGTTCCTTTTGGTTGCCCAGCCCGCGTAAAATGCTCGAAGCAGCCGCTAATTTGACGTTGTTCTACTAATATACGTATTTATCATAATTATATAGTTAATTACAACAGGGTCAACGCAACGGAGTTTCCCTATTCCACCTATATCTAACACAAACCAATGGCACTGATATTCGACACCTACTCTATAAAAACTGTGTTGATTGATTTATTTATTTTGGACGGTACATTGGAAAAAAGATATCTCAACAGGAGCTTACAAGCTCTTCACCGTCAGTGGTGTATCCTCATGTTCGTTTTCATATCGTGACAATCGTTAACGTTTATCAGCTTTATCTTGTGACAATCGTTAACTTTTATCGGCTTTATCTCGTGACAATCGTTAACTTTTCTTATCTTTATCTTGTGACAATCGTTAACTTTTCTTATCTTTATCTTGTGACAATCGTTAACTTTCATCAGCTTTATCTTGTGACAATCGTTAACTTTCGTCAGCTTTATCTTGTGACAATCG